ASKTTTTTCTATTATAAGCTAYACTGTACTATGGATTTATAAAAACTAGKTTTAATGTTGATAATTGATAATTATTGACATTTCAATATTAATCATGATAATTTAATAATCATATTTATTGATTAAGTAATCATTAATGTCCATTRATACATGTATTTTCAGCCAGACAATGTGTGAAGATAAGAACATCAACCTGTTGTCATTCACAGGGAGTATACCGGTATGCAAAAAAAACAACAGACAATTGAAATTTTCTGACTTGCTTCTTACAAATTAATTGATCATTGTTTTACATTTTCTTCATGAACTGACATGTAGGTTGGTCAGAAAGTTGGTGCCACTGTTCAACAAAGATTTGGTAACATCTATTTTTGTTTTGTATGACATTATATATGCATCTTGTTTTGTATTACATTATATATGCATCTTTAGTAGTTGTGTTGGTTTGGCTAGTATATTCATATAGGTTGAATGGTAATATTCTTGTTTTCATGCCTGCTGGTTGGTTAGTAAAGTTTTAGAAAGGCAGATTTAGAAGTAAATGCCATTTAGTATTTTTGGTTTTGTGAGCAGTTTTTATCTTGGTGTTGTGTTGTTGGTGTAAGTGAACTATTTACTATAGGTGTGTTTGTTGATGTGTCTGAAGTTTGTAGAAATTAAGCTGTTTGTTTTGGTAGATTGTTCAATATGGACTGTATTGTTGGATACATATATAATTTAGTTGGTTGGTTTGATAACAACCTTTGTCAATACCATAGGTAAGCACATCTTGGAGCTGGGTGGAAACAATGCCATCATTGGTAAGATTCATTCAAGTAATATTCTTTCTATCCAAAATGATATTTTTGTTGTATTAATTGTTATTATTAAAACAACAATATATAAATGTACTTTATTTTAGTAATGGATGACGCTGACCTTGACCTGGTCATTCCATCTGTGTTGTTTGCCTGTGTTGGTACAGCTGGRCAAAGATGTACCACAACAAGAAGATTGGTAAGTTTKWGTTTTGTTGTGTCATTTAACCAGTTCCATCTCRTTATTCTCACTAATGTATTTTCTYTTCATTTTGTTTTTAATTAATAGATTCTTCATGAAAAGATATATGAYACAGTCGTCGAGAAATTGAAAACGGCATATGCACAGGTTAAGCATGGGGATCCATTGGATGGTAAGGACTCTATGAAAGAGATATTGATTCTTAAACCATTGGGGAAAAGGGAGGAAAAATGATGATAATGATGATTGTAACATTATGATGATGATAATGAATTTTAGTAATAGTTATTTTTTAATTATAATGCTTSAAGTTTACTAAAAATGGTTTCATTGTTATTTTAGATGGTGTTATTTATGGACCATTACATAATGAGAATGCCGTTGACATCTATAAAAAGACAGTAAACGCAGCACAAAGTGAGGTAATTGTAAAACATTATTATTAAGGTATTTGGTATTGACAACTACTGGAGGCTGAATGTAATTCATTTTAAATAATTTAAAATTGTATTTGTAATTATTATTGATGCAGGGTGGCCAAGTCATATTTGGAGGAAAGGTAAGATTCGTAATTTGTGTGATAATCATTTAATTAAATAGCCTGCGTACATCCGTTCCCACCCCTCCCCCCTGTGAGGGAAATTTGTGAAAAATTTTTCCTGCAGGTGGAGTGGTGGGAAMGGATGTACAAAATTTTCCTCGCAGGGGGAAGGGGTGGGAACAGACGTACACAGGCTGTTAATTGAACTCAATGCCAGAATAGTCCGAATAGCAAGGAGTATTCAAAAAGCTCATGATTTACMCGCATTGTCATTTGAATTTCAAGGTTATTGATTCCCCTGGATTTTATGTTGAACCAACACTTATTACGGGACTGGACCATAGTGCTGAGGTCATGCAAGACGAGGCTTTCTGTCCTATCTTATACATCTTGAAATGCAAGGTACATGTACAGTGTACATTTTTAACATCTTTCCTTTTGTTTATAATGTCACAAGCATGGTAATTTATTAATACTTGAACAGGAACATTATATTCAATTAAAAGTAATTTTTATTTATGATCAATGATTCAGAATTTTGAGGAAGCTGTTGGTTTAAACAATGAAGTYAAACAAGGCCTCTCCAGCAGCATCTTTACCACCAATATTGGTCARGTGTTTGAATGGATGAGGTAATCTTTTTTCTTCAAACTATTTATTATTATCATTGATATCAACAGTGTAATTGGCTATTAACATATATAAAGGTTTTAACTATTTTATTCAATTAAAATTGTTTCAAATTTGCACAGTGCTAAAGGCTCAGACTGTGGACTTGTTAATGTGAATATCCCAACAAATGGTGCAGAGATCGGTGGTGCCTTTGGTAAGTTGATTGTCAATGAACTCTGTATAAGTGAAAAAAGAAAAAGAAATGGGAAATGTTAACCAAGTCAAGGTCCAAAAGTGAGGGCTATCCAATTTATATCTGTTATATTTTTGGTAGTCAACTTTTGTTTAAAAAATGATRCTTTTCTAGTACTTTTTACATGACAAGCATTGCTCAACATTGGTAATAACTGTGCTTTCTTCACTAGGTGGTGAGAAGCATACAGGAGGAGGRCGAGAGTCTGGAAGTGATGCATGGAAGGCATACATGAGAAGGTCAACATGGTGAGCACAGATTGTAAATTGGTTTTTGAATATATATTTTGTCAATGAAATAACTTATATCTTAATTCACTATTCTACCCATTCACCTGTTTCTGTGCCTCTTCTGGGTCCCTTCATTTATTCTTAGATATTAATATATTGTTGTACAATTCTATATTTTGTTCTTTTTGCAGCACTATCAATTACAGCAAGGACCTTCCTCTTTCACAAGGAATAAAATTTGGTTAAAAGCACTCTTCCCAATATACATTGGATGCATTTGCAATTGTAGATGCCAAAGTTATAAAATAGAATAAGTAAAATATTGCAAGGAAGATTGACAATAAGGCAACCTGATGTATATTATTTTTTTAAAATTTTTAAAAAAATTATGTGCTATTTGTCACTATTGTCAATAACTTTGCATCTACTGTAGAATGCTTGAAGTCGTTTTAGTGTGTTTTCATATAAGAAGTAGTATTGCCTGAATGTATTKTAATTGGTAATTTATTTGT